GGAGGCGGAGGAGGAGGAAAAAGAAGAAGAAGAAGAAACAGCAGCAGCCGCTGCCGCCGCGGCAGAAAAGAAAGCAAAAGCCGCCCGAGGGCTCGGAGCCGGCGGCGCGGCATCCGCGGGGCTGCGCGGCCATGGCCCGGGAGAACGGGGACGGCGGCGGCTCCTGGAAGAAGCAGGCGGAGGACATCAAGAAGATCTTCGAGTTCAAGGAGACGCTGGGGACGTAGGTGGCGGGATTTGGCTGCGGGGCCGGGGGCGGGTGCTGTCCCTTCCCCCGGGGATGCGCGCTCTCCCCGCGGGTGGGTGCGGGTCCCTGCGCCGGGATTTGCGCACCCGCGGCTGCTGCTCCGCGCCCCGCGCATCCATCCCAGCAAGAAGTCGGAGTGACCTGGGAACACGGAGAAAAACAGAATTGTGGGGCAGGAGCGGGGCTAGCATCACCCCTTACCCTCCCCCCATACCCCCCAAAAAAACGATAAAAAGGAAAAACCCCAAGTGTTTTAAAATATTCATAGAACGAGGAGACAGGGGAAGGTTTTTTTCTCGATAGTGCAACTGTAAATAAATGCGGTCTGACTTGCACGCTTCCCCTAAAGCCGATGGCTGCAGCTATTCGTGGACAGACGAGCAGAAATAATCGGAGTGGATTGGATGTGTTTTAGCTACGATGCTTAACTGTTGTTGGGCTTTATTTGTTTTATTTATAGTGGCGGGGCATAAAGATTAGTAAAACGTTAGAGTTTTTTTGTTTTTTTTTTTTTAAGGCTGAGGAAAAACACGCACAGATGGTGCAAGGGAGCGGGGTACAGGCTGGTGTCTTTTTGGCTGAGTAAAGAGTTTTATTTTTGTTAAAACTAATTTTCGCACTCAGGATATTATAAAGGTAGGGAGCCGGGAGTGCTGAAGGAGCCAGAGCACGGGCTGCTGTGTGTGTGTGTGTGTGTACACATTGTAATTAGAGTTGCCTTGTGTTGCGAGTGCTCCTCGTAGCTGTGTCCCCACCGCTTTTCATTGAAACTTCAAGCGTGTCTCAAAACGAAGCGTTGTTAATCCCGAGTAGTGCTTTTCCTACGCTCCGTGCCACTTCCAAAACACAGTTGAACAAGTTTTGAATGTAATATTTGAGTTTCTTTCTGCTTCCAAGGGAGGGCTCCCTACAAACAGAGTATTTCTGGTTTGTGGGCTCGCTGGTTTCTATAAACTGGCTGTGAGTAGGAACCAGGCTGGTGGTTTATCATGGAGGTGGGTCAGCCGTGATGGGCTTGATAGCACAGCCCTCAGGAAAGCAGACTTAGTAAATCAAATGAATGTCTGTCCAGGTGTCTGATGAGGCAAAATGCAGCGAAGAGCCAAGTGCTGTGATGTATTCTTGTCACCTTCATTGAGTTTTTGCTGTGGGAATTTCATGCTGGGAGAGACGTGCTCTGCTTTGTCACCGTAGGTGTGCAGCTCCCTTCCTGAGCAAAGGGGTGTTGGGGAGGAAAGTTTCAATGCTCTGAGGTTTGCTGGAGCAGCAGAACAATTCGTTGGGCTTCCCATTGTACAGCTCTCTGTCATCTCTGTGGTTGTGGTGTTGAAGCACCTGCGAGGGTTAATTTGGGCTGCTGAAGAGGTTCAGGAAGAATTAATGCTGTGGCCTTGATCCGGATCCCACTGTAGTTAATGGGAGCTGGTGTAGGTCCCAAGGAAGGTAAAGCTGGTCAGAGTTAATAGTTATTCATATTAGCATGGCTGTTGCAAATTAAATTCATTAAATATGGCCAATTAGTGTCTCAAACTATTAACCATTGTCTGAGCCTCACAGTTCGGTAAGTCCTTTCTAATGGGAGTGGAAGCTGTGAAGTTTTTAAACTTGACTTAACAGTCAATTTAGAAAGTATTAGAAAATTAAAATAATTGGATTACGAACCTGGGCCCATAAAAAGAAAATAGAACTATTTTCTTTTTCAGACTTAGCTGTATTTAATTATGAATATATGTGTGTTTAACAGCCTACACGTGGGCTGCCTTCTGGTTGTGCATTCCTTAGCTTCCAAGGGCAGGCTGATAATTAGAAGATTTGAATCTGAGTTTTGGTTCTGTCCTTGGCCACCCACCAGCACAGCACCTGCAGTTCCTACCAGGTCTGGTGTGACTTACCAGGATGTGAAACTTCTAAAGAATTTAGGACATTGCTGTGCAAATCATTAAAGTGCCTGTGCCATTTCCACTGAAGGCAGGGAAGGGTGGTTCACTGACTTGAGCAGCAGATACACAAGGTCCAGGAGCCTAAATGATGGGAAACATTCTCAATTATTGATAAAGTATTTAGATAGGAATGAAGCTATATGAGTAAAAATAGCTTTAAAGTATTTGTACCAAAATGTTCTCCTCTGGCTTTATTTAGGAACAGGGTTAAAATCTGCTTTGATCCCTCCTGCACTGTAATGCTGAACCATGTTGGACAGCCAACACTTGATCTCACTGGCTAATAGATTTTTCTCTAGCATGGAGTGAAAAACTTGGCACGTCACATGAAATGTACTGGATTGTAGTAGCTGTATTTTACATTTCTCTGCAATTCCATTTCAGGATGCCAAAGTGCTAAAAGCACTTTTAACAGAAAAACAGCCCTTTTTCATGCAGCTGTCTTAACTGCCTGTGGTAAAATTGGCTAGAGAAAGGAAAACACTAAACCCCCAGATCAGGGAAGAAAGTGAAAAAGAAACTTTAAAAGCATATTTTATTTCAAGTGCATTGATTTGTGAATGTTAAATCTATGTGTACACCTTATTAATGATTTGCTCTCAGAAAAGAGCCTTTCATCTGAATAAAAGCTGGATCTTTAACATGGGAGAGTTGAAATTTGCTGGAATTATTAAAAAGATCCTAAGTCAGTTAATCATTACATCATTTGGGCTTCAAGGAACCGCTAATGAGTACCCAGCTCTCCCTTCCAGAGCTGGAATAAATTATTTACACATCCCTGTAAATCATGTCCAGCCACATTGATGCTGAAATTGAATTGGATGTCATGCCCAGATGTAAGAAAGCAGCCCTTTTCCACCCAAAGAATTGTTTCCTTTGGTGGCTGAGGTCTGTGTTGTTTGATCTGCTCTGTGCTGCTGGACAGCAATGTTTTTCTAAAGAAGTACCAGCAATGCAGTGATTGGTTCAGATGTACCCAAACCTGTATTTACCCTGTTCTGTATTTATGCATATGTTAAAGCATGTGCAATCTTCTTTTGCAACCACTCTGGTATCAGAATGTCAACAAAAGATTTTGATAATAGTAATCAATATTATTATATTTTTTAATTCATGATTCTTGGCAAGGTTTATATATTATTATATTACAATAATACAGTGAACCACTCTCCATATGCATAGGTTCATTGAGTGCACCTTCTTGGAAACTGGACCTGTTTGCTGCTAAACCGCTGACAGTGAAATTACAAATCCTGAAAAAGCAGCTAGGCAAAAATAAGCAAAATAAATCAAAGATAAAATAAAATCATAGCAATGGGCCAGATCCTCAGCTAATGTAATTTAGAGACCCTTCCAAGTCAGGTGTGCTTGAGGAAAGAAGAGGATCTGAGTCTTCTGTCTTTAAATTTCCATAAATTCACCTATTGTAGCTCTACTCAGTTCCCCCTGGAAGACAAATTGAGAGGGGAAGTGAGGGCCTGCCTGGAGAGGGGGATTTCTGTCCCAGCTCTTGAGAGATGGGAAGGTTCACAATAGCAGGAATCTGATGAGTGATCACAGAAATATCACTTTTTCCCTCCACATTTAAAGTATATTATATCTAAGGCCTTTTAAACCTTAGATTTTGACATCCGAGAAATAGTAAGAAACATCATGTCATCCAGTAGTGAAAGAGGAAGGTTCCATCACTTGATCTGCCTAATTAGATCAACCCAACGTTTCTAATATATCTGTAATTAAGCCTAATTGGCATCAGAGTTATGATGAAGTCCTAGTATTTAGAAAGGCTCAAACTTAGTAACTATGAAAATACCAGTGCTGTCCTTAAAAATGATGTGGTAGATTCCTTAAAGCTTAGTAAGGATAACAGAGGGAGTTGCATGGATATAACCATAACATAGTGAGAGCTGGGTGGGAAGACAAATACGCTTCAAGTAAGTTTCCAGTACTTTCCTAAAATACAGTATAGAGAAAACATATGGGCGGTTCTGTTTTTCTCAGGGGCTCTGCGGTAATTTTTGGTTTGTCTGTGTCACTTCCATACTCTTACGCCATTTGATGGGCTCCTGGCACTCTCCATGGCTCTTCCACACAGCAGTACGTGCTCGTTCATGCTGTGAAATGAAGTCACTGCTCGTCCTCCTCTCACATCTCTTTTCTTTCTCACACACCCACGTGCACACAAACACGCGCATCGTCACAAACCCTTACGCGCCGTCTGCTGCGTCTCTGTCCTCTCACGTCCTTCACGGTGCCTTTCCCTCTGTGCAGCCTCACGCTGGCTCTCCATGAGCTGATCCACCTCCTGCTCTCTCTCTGTTTGGGTGGTCAGACCCTCGTGGGGGCTGTGCCTTGGGCCAGCCTTGGCTGCCACCAGTGAGAAGGTGCTGGTGGTCAGGACAGGTCCTGGCAGGGGCCCCTCTCTAGAGGGGAGGTGCTGGGAGGTCACAGAGGTCTCAAGATGTGGTTGTCTCTGGTCAAAGATCCTGCCCTTTCATCAGCTGGGTGCCAAAAGCACTCGTGTTGGATTCACACAACAGATCATCCCTGTTTAGCCATTTAACTTGAGGCATCGTGCAAGTTACTCGGTTTTTCACTTCTGATTTTCAAAGTTCTCGAGACATAAAGAAAGACGTTGATATTTGTGTTCTCCTTGGCTCAGTGCCCCTATGATGATTGAGGGGTTTGTCTGATTTTTGAGTTTCTGCTGACATTACCAGCAATTGCTGACTGTCTTTGATGACATCTCAGTGAGGCTTGGTCAGATTGTTTCATATTTTCTCCAGTTCAGTATTTTCCCTTTTTTTTTTTTTTTTTTTTTTCTTTTTTAAATTAAAATTAATTAAATTAAAAAGAAAGTGCAGTATCCTAAAGGGCTGAAGTTGAGGTGCAGGTTTTCAGGAGCAAGGTTGATGAGCCACTGGAGCAAACCATAAAGGCATAAAGTCTTCTTCTCTGGGATAGTTTTCTGGGAGCTCTGAAAGCTGTCAGGCTTCAAGCAGCAGGAAAGTGCCTCTTGTCCATGTTTACAAAGGA